TATATATATATATATATATATATATATATATATATATATATATATTCTCTTCACTGTATTCTTTCGGTTTTCTATTTTTTCCCTCTGCACATTTTATCCTTTCTACTCTCTTTTCTCTTTATTTTTATTAGTTTTTTACCATTGCATTATAATATTTAGTAACATTATTTTTAAAAACTAAACTTGAAGGTAACAGGTGCTATTAATTGTTTACTGTTTTTATATTGTGCTTTTATCCTTGTAAGCCATCTGGAGTCATTGAGAGTGAGTTTGGTGGCGATATAAATTTTTCTAAATAAATAAATGAATTGTTTCTCTGGGGAGAAAGAATGGACACAAATAAACACACCCAAACAAACATTGCTTATAACATGGAAGAGAGTTAAACATGCCTTCTATCGCCACTGTTGGTAAAAGAGCATAAATAATTATCAAAGAGGAGAAAATATAACTAATATCGTCTTAATTAGAATTTCAGGAATCTTTGCTGTAATTCATTTAAAAGTATCAAAGTAACAGAAATCTAAGATCTCCCTCTTGTGGACATTTATAAATACATTAATATTTCATAAAAATGGACTAAGAATGATTGCATAGGCATTCAAATGTTACATTTCCCTAGTTCAGATTGTTATTTCCTATTTAAAACACATTATTTCACTATATGGAAAAACTAAACGTCACTTTTTTTTAAAAAAAAAAAAGTACATAAAATATTTACCTGTGATGTCTGGCATTTTTCGTCGCTTACAGCAAACTTCATTTTCAAGTTTGGTGGTAGCTTTTCGTTTCCCAACACCTAAACCACAGAAGGCAAAAAAACAAAACCAGAAAGCATAGTGTAGTCTTTCATGCTTTTTTTAAATAAAGTTTTTTTATTTTTTATTTTTATACATCTCATTTTATGAATGGTTTGATTCCTGGGTGTCATACACTTCAATACCAATAAACATAACAGTATTATTCCTAGTAATTACATTTCATTTTCATTTTTAGTTTTACTAACATGTAATTTCTACTATCATCCTTCAATTCTAAACCTTTTCATAGTCCTGCTATACACTGTATCATCTTAACATTTGTTTTTGCTATTTTTCCCCTCTTATTTCCACCTCTATTTTAGCCCTCCTTTTTCCCCCTTCCCCTATCATTCTAATATTCAAAAACGCTATCCTTCCTTTTTTCATTATTCAATATTTCAATATGCACTTCTAGCATCAATCAGGATCTTTCAAGCATTTATCAAATTACTTAATCCTAGCTTTTCACTGTTAATCACATTTTTATACATAATTAATAATACCCTTATACAAATTGTTTTTCTAATTTACAAACTATTTTTCAGCCTCTATAATTCTAATAATAATATATATTATATTACTACCTTACTAATATATATTCAAAAATGAATTTTGTCTCACACCACATAAAGAGCAGTTATCCAACTTATATAGTTTTAATATTCATACACATTATAAGGTATTTTCATAAAATGTTGCTTTACATTCCTTTCCTTTCTCTCTATCCCACATCTTTCACCTTCATCCTAATTTTTAATCTTCTTTTTTTATGGTCTCCCATACACTTCTTTTAATTCTTTTATTTTACCTACTTTTGAATCTGCATTGTAACTATGTTCTCTAATTTTCTCTCCCTTTTTCTCGCCCTTTTTCTCCACTGTCTAATTCTATGACTCCCTGTTCTAACCCCCTTTTCTTCTTTCCAGCTGTATTAATGTTTCTCCCATTTCCTTTTCACATCTTTTAGAGTATTTCCCTTCTGTTCTACTCCTTTATTCACCATCAATTGTACTAATACAGGTGAAATTTGAAAAATTAGAATATCGTGCAAAAGTTCATTTATTTCAGTAATGCAACTTAAAAGGTGAAACTAATATATGAGATAGACTCATTACATGCAAAGCAAGATAGTTCAAGCCGTAATTTGTCATAATCGCGATGATTATGGATTACAGCTCATGAAAACCCCAATTTTTATATCTTTTATAAAGATGTCTTTATAAAAAATAGTGTTGGATTATGTTTTAGCCCCCAATAGGCTTTTCTGTCCAATTTTAGCTGGTAATCACCATCTTTTCCCCTAAACTTTCATATTAAGTCTTAATTATTTCATTTGACTGCCTTCTACACTTTAATAAAACATTAAGGAGGTCGCAGACAGTAACTGGATTATATTTTGTCTTAGATAGAAGACAAGATTAGCAAAGGCATTATTATGTTGTGCTTCAGCAATAATAGATGGCTACAATTTCCCCAGATGTTTATAGTTGGAAAGACACATGAATGCTCCCTTTGAGTAGTCACAGAAATGTGAATGTAAATATATGCTGTACAAAACAGATTTTAAACAGATCTGTTTCAAACACTTACGCTTAAGAGATTTCTCCTGCTCATTATCATTCTGGTTATGTAGAGTCCAATCAGCTACCCAAATGCAAAAAAAAATAAAAAATTAAAGCATGTGGTAATTTGCAATACTAATTAAAGGATGACATAGTTAAAGAATGATATAAATAATACAGGTCAAACAGACATTTACTGTGCAAGTAAGTTTATAGCTTTTAAAAATATATGGGCCAAATCTTCAATGAATTTTATAAAGCAGAAACTAATCAAGCAAGTATATATAAAAGTTGAGTTTCCTACTACTCACAAATACCTAATCAAAACAGAAAGATCTAGTTATCTAGGGTCAACTGCCCTGTATCTGAGAGCAAAGGAAAAGGCCAAAATATATAGTGTTTCTTATGTCCTAAGATTACAGTACATTAAATTTTTCTTCAATCATTGTGGAAAAGGAGAAATTCAGGGTAACTTTGCTACAGTACCTACAAAGATGCCAGAAAACTTTGATAAATGCAATGAACCTGGGCAAAGATAAGAGGAGGGTCCATTTTTCATTTTGTACTAAGTTTTTAGAGATATAAGCGAGATCATAAGAAAATCAATTTGCTTGAGTTGTAAGGCATATGAAGGGAACTGGAAAAGGAACAGAAGGGACTGGTTTCTGTGGAAGAAAAAAAAACTGCTTGATATTCTCTTCTGCCCCTCCTCCAATAAAACTCAAGCAAATGGGCTTTGCGGTTTTCATTGCTGATTTTTCTGCACATTCCAAAACTCAGAGAAGAATTATGCTCCACAATGATAATCTTATCTAAAATTAGAAAGAAAATAATATTACATTCAAATAACTACATGTTTGTATTTGCAATTTCTGCAAAGCTCAAGCCACAGACATATTAAAATAATCCTTAGGATCAAAATATAACTTTGGGATCACATAAGACTATAGATCTAGCATAATACATATTGTATTGTTTCCTTAATTTTCCTTCACCTTGTGATTACATAAAATTCCAAACTAGTTTTTCACATAAAAAACTAAAAATATTTATGTTCATTCTGTAGATTTTTGGGGGGAAGGAGCTTTAAAATTGAAAGTTAATTTTATTTAGAAAAATAAATGAAACCCAAAGTAACATAAAATGCACAAATTTTCACTGTAGGCAAATTTGTTAATTACAATTCATTATTAATAATGATAATAATAAAATAATAGAATTTCTAGACATATGCATGATGCACTAAATTGTGCTCAATATATGCTCACATTCTCTGAGCTTTGCCTTCCACACAATTTCTTCGGACTCCAAATCCACCAAAGATAACATAAGTTCCATTGGCTGTTCTAAATATACCTCAAAGAAAGGCTTCTCTGCCAGGGTAGAGTCATCTCCAAACTGAATTTCCTAGAAAAAGGATATTGAAATATTAAAAGTCTGCTTACTGTGACAAAATACATTTCTTCTTTAAAGTACTTTGTTATTAATGAATAAAATAGTTTGCTGTACATGCTATTTTCATACCAAAGGCTAGAGCTCACTTAAAATAACAAAATTGAAAGTACAAATGATTATATTTTCATGTTTCACAAACTCTATATATGTTGACAAACCAATTATAAAAGAAAGAGAAACATACCTCAGGTGTTATGTCTGCTTCTGGATCACTAGTTAATCTGTATTTCTTTCCATTTTGCAATAATTTATGACAAGGAGGTTTTTCAATTTTAATGAATTTATTAAGAGATCGTCTTACAGTTTTGGATATATCCTAGAAATTAAACCAAAGATTTTTATCCATATCAAGAAATGGAAGAATAATAATAGACATATTAGAATAGATATATAGTTTATTAATGTATTTCAATTTAAAATGGAGTTAAGTTATCCTACCTGTCCAATATTTTAAATTCATTCCAGTGGTGAGTTACAGCTGATACGCCCCAGTACGGACATACCAGTGCCTGCTGGGAGCAGCAGGCACCATTCCGGTACAGTGCTTCAGAGGGCCCACCCGCCTGCCGGCGTTCCTTACCTATATTTGACACAACCAGGCCATTTGCACATGCGTACACAGCGTACAGCGACTGCACGATGCTCCACTGAGCAGCTGGAGCATCGCAGGGCAGTGGTGTGCATGCGTTATGCAGCACATGTGCACGTGGTGGACACCCGGCCCCGTCGCAGTGAACCAGTTGCGACGGGATCCGGAACCCACCACTGATTCATTCATTATATTGGTATTTTGGCTCCCATTTGTTTTGTTAGAAAGAAATTGTACTTTCTTAGTTTTAAGCATAGGAACCCTAGAAATGTGCAGAATACAGAACTGGTATATAGTATTAATATAGCATTTAATTTAGCTATCTGCCTAGCCTTTGTTTGGCAAGATTTCTCACTGTTTTATTTTTCTTTTGGGTCACAAACAAAATCTTTAAAAGTACAATAAAAACAAATTAAATACATTAAAAAATAAAATAACAATAAAATACATTAAACTAAAATATAAGTACAGTATTCAATAAGATAAAATAATGATAAGAAGTACAGCAGAAACTGAAATTCAAAATGGCATTTCAATCTCCTGAATGTCACCCAGCTGATCCAGGTTGGGTGAACTTAAGCCAGGGGTGGGTTCCTGCCGGCATTACTGCCAGTTCAGCGTGCAAAAAAATTTGCGTACACTCCACACACATACGCATGTGCACCTAAAAAGGTCTGTGCATGCGCACAATGTTAGAAAAGGAAAAAATATATAAATTTTTGCAATGAAGATTGTTTTGTGCATGCACAGAACTGAAAATCAAGATGCTGCCGCCGCCGATAGACCCTATCCGGGGGCGTGGCAGGCCAAGTTACTACCTACTTGGCCAAACCGCTCCAAACCGGTAACCCACCTCCGACTTAAACCCACTGACTTTTACTTGCAATGGCAAGAGATCCAAACTTAATCACTTCCTTAGAACTTTTTATTAAGAATCCATTAGAAACAATTGTACAGTCAAAGCTTCTGCCTTTAAAAAGATGAAGAATTTATTTTTCCAAAAAAGAAAAAAATAGTTGATCTTACCTTTATAAATGAATTGTTATTTGTAGCTATATATACACGGAATTTCAAGGAGGGATGATTGTTGATAACTTTATATAAAATGACTACCCCGTGATAATATACTGGATCATATCTCTCAATTACTGGTCCAACTGGAGATAGTGAGCTCACGTGCCACTTGACATGTGTGGTTGAATGATCAATGGAGCTTTCAAATTCCGGACTATTCTTTTTGAAATGGAATACTTTGAAGGCCTTCTCAGACAAGTGATCTGCACACAAATTCCAAAATGTTAGAACTTTCTAAAGAATGTGCCACAATACATAAATAAATGAAATAATTTACAATGAATCTTACCATTCAGGCAGAGGGTGTGTGGAAACTGAATCGAAGTAAGAGCAGAAGAGGAACATTTGATATCAAATATAGGGCCCACGACAATCCAAGGTTCTTTAACATAAGCAGCATATTTGGTCCAAGACAAAACTGAATATTCAATGGTAACAGATCTGGTTACTTCAAAAATTAATCCTGTCGCTGTACATTCAAAAGTTCCTTCACAATCCAGCTTCAAGCTAAACAAATGACATACAAAAGATAACACTGAATCTCTAAATGATATTTGTAGTTTTTTATCTTTCCATATAAATAATTAAAAACACATAAGACAGAATATTGATGCTAGCATAATTCTTCCACCTATGAGCATTAAGATAATCTATTGTTGACTTTTGCATCTAAAATAATATGCTAATTAAAAATGTTTTGAAATTGTCATGCAAACCATTTCTTAACAATACAAAAAAGATGAAAGTCACAAATGTTATTTTTCAGTGCAAAAACCCTTAGCAAACAGATTGTTACCTATTAATATACTGTAATTAGAAATATATATATATACATACATACACGCACACCCACACATACTGTGTGCTTATGTATGTATGTCTGTGTGTGTGTGTGCATAGTATAATTAGTGTACATTATAATATTAGCCTCTTAGACTATGTTTGTTATATTTCACATAATGATAATGAATGTATTTTAATGTACTTTAATAAGTAACAGTAAGATACAAAATATACCAGTAAGTTCATAATTTCCATCTTCTATGAAGTGGACTCTCTTATCATAATTTCAAAATACACAATTTGCCTTGCAAAGATTGTACACTGAAATATATGAAGCATTATATATATATGGAATAAACAATTCCAGAAATGTTTCCAGTTATAATAATAATAATAGATAATAGCTACCAAAACTGTCCTTTCAGAAATCTTCTGGGAGTGACTTGTTCATGTTGCTTCTTTAAAAGAAAAGAAAATATGAATTAATTCATATTTATGAATTAAGATTTAAAGCAATTTGAAATTTCCAAACCTACTTTTTGGATTATGCAGTGTTTACAGCATTGCTGGATGTTAACTTCTAAAATGAAACAATAAAACAAAATTAGATTATTTAAAAAAAACCTCTTTTAACATTTCAAAATATACTATCTTCTAAGGGTACATACTGGATTCACCACCATTCTGCAACTCTTTTTCTTCTGGTTGTTCAACTGTAAAAGAAAATCATAAATCAGATACAATTTTTAAAATTGTTATCAAAACATAAGATTGGAATGACTCCTGTCCTCTGAGATCTTATCAGGTTTATATAAGTGCTTTGTCCTTTTAGATATCCCATCCCCATTTAATGAATTAATTAACTTTCATTCATTGCCTGTGCTCCATTTTTCCAAAATTCTGGGCCACATTATGAAATATACAATGTACCTGATTTACTGCAATACAGCTGTAACTCTTTCTCTTCTGCTTCAACTGTAAAAATAATAATAATAAAGTGAATTATACACTGAATCAGATAGGATTTTTACAATCATTAATGAAATATAACATATGAATGATTCCTGTCATTTGAGGAATCATATCAGATTCTTTTTAATAAATGCTTTTATCTTTTAGATTCTCACCCCAGGTCCCATGCATTTTATTTTAATTAACTGCCTATGCTTTATTTGCCAAAATCCTGGGGAAATGTATTTAATATCTTTGTTACATTTATTGCAATTGCAAGTTATACATAAGTGGTAAAAAAGTAATATAATTCATTTGGAAACCTTGGTCAAGTGTTTATTACAGATAGGGAAATGGATGGGGTGATTTTGAAGCATGCAAGTACTAACAGAATGGCAGGTCTGTTGCAAAGAATTATTGTTTCTTGAAAGTATCAAAATAAGAGGAAAGGGAAGCATAGGAAAACATTTGGAAATTATTCTTTTGGCCGAAGGAGATGTTACAAAGTATTGGATTGAGGGATCAATTTTTTTGCATCTGCTATAGTCACGTTAAATAAAAACTGAATCTGTAAATAAACAACAACATACTATGCAAGTAAGCATGCATTCAAATTTGCCAAAAATACGTCCTCTTCAACAGACATTGAGTCAGCTTCTGTTCACTTAAAGATACACAAACCACAAGTGCCTAAACTTTTGCATGTTAAGTCATTTCCTGTAATTTTTTCACTTATTTAGTCTGGACTTTTTTTTTTTAATTCTCAAGAATACCACAGACAAAACATATTTGATCCTAAAATTTCTAAGTCAAATATTACACATTGACGATAGATACTTGCTTTTGTTTGTATGATTAAAGAATAAGAGCCCACCTGATTAGAACCAAGTCTTTTGAAATTCAGAGTGCTACTTCCAACAGTCGTTCCCTCAGCTTTCCCTCGCCTGATGCTGTTCTGAGTAGAGGCACATATTTGGGTAGACCTGCTTGCCCTAATAGAAAACACTTGATCTCTCCCCTGGTATAGCCAATAAAGCAAGGAGAGTTTGTGGCTTAGAGGTTAGTACATCTACTTAATATGTAAGCAGCTCGGGTTCAAATCCCAGAAGAGTATGGTTAGCCGACGAGAGCTAAATAGCTTGAAATAGATCTATACTAGTTTCCTTTTATTTCTTTGTCGGTAAATACAAATTTAACACAAAAATAGTTCGTCGCGAAAGTGACTGCTTGAGAAGGCTCCTGGATTGAGGCTGAAAGGCAAAAGCAGAAGCACTATGCTCCATTCCAGGATAGACCAGGTTGATTAAAAAAAACACAATCTCATGATGACCTGCTTTATGACCATCACAACTTATCACTGTAATGAGTAGGCTGTATTACAAATTGAAGTAATACAGGACTACCTGAATGAGAAGTATCATCCTCATTCTCTGGCAATCTGAGTATGAGAGTTCCACCTAACTATTATATTTATTACTATTTAATCAATTTAAGCATAATTTCCTCAAGTCTTAATCTGAGGGAAAATAGCATTATTTGTGATAGTAAAATAGTAAAAGGATACTTTCTGAACTTTAGTGAGCAAGTACCATACCTTGGCCTTTGTTAACTGTTTTCAAATTATCTTATGCCTTTTGTAACATAGACAGTCAAATAATTTGCTTTCATTTCTAAGTATCTTCTTGCCATCTTGCACAGCAATTCTGTTAGAGCTTTCCCACACAAAAACTACAATTAATAGTAAATAAAGGATACCCACGTGGTTCATTTTCATTTGCCTCATTTGTCTCTGTAAATAAAAAGGCTGACTTGGTGAGACAGAAAGATTTGTTAACTTGTTTGTTTTAAATAAAAACAGGCATAAATATTAAAACATGTGCATAAGGCTATATTTGTCCCTCAGTGACAACACCATTTCCTTCAATTCTTTTCCTGACTATCCTGTTTTGTCACTTTTCCTGCCAATCTCAAAGGACCTGCCCTCATGGCACTCTGACATGGAATCTCATGTGAACATATATTATGTTTGAAACAGAAAACTGTTTGCTGAGATAAAATATCACTCGCCATGGCAACAACATAGACCAAGGAAAGTTATAAGAATAGTAAAAGGCCAAACGCTTTTGCATATATATATGTGACAAACCAAATAAATAAAAATAAATAAATACAGGTAGCTCTTGACTTACAACCATTCATTTAGTAATCATTCAAAGTTGTAACGGTATTTAAAAAAGAGAACTTTTGACCAGTACTTTCACACATTTTTCACATGCAGCATCCCATTTTGGTCATGTGATCAAAATTCAGACACTTAGCAAGTGATATGTGTTTACAATGATTGCAGTGTCCTGGGTCATGTCATCCCTTTTTGTGATCCTCTGACAAGCAAAGTCAATGGGGGAAGTCAGATTCACTAAACAACCAAGTTACTAACTTAGGAACTGCAGTGATTCAGTCAACAACTGTGGCAAGCAAGGTCATAAATAGGACAAAACTCATTTAACAGCTCTCTTGCTTAGCAATGGAAAATTTGGGCTCAGTTATGGTCATAAGTCGAGGACTACCTGTTAGGAATATAATCTAACGGCTGGGTTGGCAATATATAAATCATGTAACAATACTATACCTGTTTCTTTAAATCATACTGTAAAATGTGATTGGTTGCTGTTTGCCTCAATCGGCCATAAGAGGGAGCCAGAAGGACTGTTAGCTCTCTGTTCGTTAGATGCTGGGCTGATCTGATCTGAGTAGTGTGAGCTATTGTAAGTTTTGCAACTGCTANTCAGCAGCTCTTGCCTTTTTCTTTTTACATTTTTACATTTTCATCATGGTAGACAAGAGCAGAGTTGAAATCCTCTGTGAAACAGGTTTTGGACATAGCAGCAGGGCTTTTGGACATAGCAGCAGGCCAGGGCTTTTGGACATAGCGGCAGGGCGGCTTTTGCCTTTAGCGCCGGGGCGGTGGGACGGCAATAGATCCCTTTGACAGGGGAAGTTGTAAAGCAGCTTAGGCCAAGGCCATACTAAGAATCTTCCAGCATCTTCCAAGTCACATGACCTACACGTTACTTTCCCCTATTTCTTAAAGCAGTTATTCATAAAAATACACAGGTTCAGCACAAGGGAATGCAGAAACGTACATGCCCATATTCAGAGGAAATGCATCTGTATACACTCAATTAGGCCCAAATAGACACACGCATAAATATGTAGGTATTATGGCAGGGCTGTGAAACTCCCAGCCTGCAGGCCAGATGCATCACGCGCTAGCGACGCTTACCCCCAGTTTAGCAAAAGGGGGGGAGAGTCCCGATACGTCACGTGACGCCACCGTGATATTGTGAGTTTGACACCCCTGTATTATAAGATTTCCAGAGGGAGAAGTGGCAAAAGGAAGAAGGCTCTGTTAAAAGCGGAGGCAATGACCATGGTGAAAAACAAAGAGTCTGCAAGTATACTGGCTCTTTGAAACTCACCAGATAAAGGGAGTACAGGATATCATTCCTAATTGTTCCTTTCAAGGAGATAAATCTCCTGAAGGTTTTGAGTACTAGGAGACAAGAGAAAAGCCATCTTGCGCAAAATGCAGTTGATACCTTTAAAAAGACACTACGTTAATATATTTCCTTTTCTATTCACATTTGGAAATTGCTTATTAATTTCTTTTCAGGTATTAAAAAACCTTTGGAACAACACGTCAGAAAACACCAGATGAGTCTCTTCAATCCTTAATGAAAGAAAAATTTAACTGCATGCTTAGAAACTTAAAAAATGAAATAAGCAGCAAAAAGCTAATTAAGACCTTGAATTTAGAAAGTTATAAATGGATTAAGGAATCAGATAAATTTGAAATAATATTTTGGAATTAATTTTAAGAATCCTATTTGTGAAAAAGTTGACTTGCTTTAAATATAAAAGAGATAATCAATTTTAGAAATTGGACACTAGAGGGAACCAAAGGTTTTCATTTAAAGGAGGTGCATATATATAAACCTTAACAGCTACAGAGTGATGCAAAATGTTGTAACACTGAAAATGCTGAAGGATAATTTTGAAAAACGGACTCTGAAGTTATAACAACAGTCTTAATAGCAATGTTCACCTCTATGGATAGATTTCTATGGATAGAAGTTGAGAACTATGTTGGAGGAATATCATCAGAAGATATACCAGAAGAGTCCTGGTTTTATTTATGGGAAAATATGCTACTTGTTATGATGAGAGTTGAAAGTCAATTCATATCTATATATCTATATATCTATATATCTATATATCTATATATCTATATCTATCTATCTATCTATCTATCTATCTATCTATCTATCTATCTATCTATCTATATTACTCTAAGATGTTAGCATTCAGGTCAAAGTTTATTATGT